CCCCCGAAGGAGACTATTTGATCCACTGAACTCAAAAACGTAATTATTTCAATTAATTAGGCGTAATAACTAAATGTAAAAATTAAAAAGGTAAGTACGGAGCCGAAATGCATAGTAACATTTTGTTGTGCACTTACAGAACAAAAATCAAGATGTTTGTTTTCGGGCGTCGCTCCTACTGCTCATCCACATTTGGACCATTGGGTCAAGACATTTGAATTTTGACTTCATTGGGTCAGATCGGCTCTTTGATGAGCTTTTAAAATTGAAAGATGAGAAAGTTCAGGCATGCAGTCTGAATTGTAGAAAACCGTCAGTGCATAATTGCACTTTACGGATTCAGAGCAAAAATCTGAATAGAATGCAAAAGCGTTGATGATAGGATGCTCGTGTCTCCAGCGCCTTTTTTAGACCGAAGATTCACCCAGTATAGCAATCAGCAAGTCGCAGTACAGGATCTATGCTACGATACCGGACGTGAAACAAGGGTCCGAAAAGGCTTACTTCTTCTAAATAACATTGTCAGCAGATTCGGACCACTGATTTAAGACTATCTCTCAAACTAAATCGGTGATGTACACCGTTATTCAAATCGCCACTGCGATTCCGCATCCTTCCTTTGAAAGTGACAAAAGTAATTACTGGTAAATAAACAAGACTGACCTTCTGCGTTATAACACCAATAAACGGGGTGCTTGTTTCTTTGTTGTTTTTCTCTTCATCTTCTATGCCAGCCACAATCAGCGTATTCCATAATGGATTCATTCTTGTACGGCTGAAGAAAAGAAACTAGGATTTGCGTGATTATGCACGCAAATTCTAGTGAACTTACCGAGCATACATTAGGCTTGTTAAGTACCCATGCAAAGCTTTCGGAGAAAGGTCTTGGCCAATCATTTTCCATGTGAGTACCTACGTTAGTGAAGTTAGTTCTCATGTAGGAAATACTCAAGAGAAGCTTATGATCATACCTGACGTTCAATAACATTTTGTAACCATTGGAAGTCAGCATGATCCCCTCCGAATGCAACAATAATACTGTTGTTCACTTTGTATTGACGAGAAACATTCTAAATAGTATAGCTTTGCTGAATAGTTGAAACAAGGTTTACAGAATTGTTACCTTGTATCGAGCGGTTTTACCGTACGAAACCACACGATCAGTCATTAACACAACTCCTCGATCATACTGCAGGGCTATGACAGATGTCCCGGTACAAGTTGGATTCCTAAAACATCATTTGAAATTAACATTAGTCATTGATAATACTATCGATATTTCAACTAGTATAAACAAAGAAACTCACAATGTTCTTTGCATCGCTAGTGTGTTCCCTTAGCAATAACGATATTCTAGAAATTGGTTTCTGAATAATATACACACACCACGCGTTACAAGTAGTAACAAGACCTTAACCATGTGTAACCCCTTTCTCAAGACATAATTAAAAATTTATGTGCAAGCGTAACAGTAACAATTACCCCCACGTTCGATAATTAACAAT